CAGACACACATCACCAAGCCTGGCTAATTTTTATATATTTTGTATAGACAGGGTTTCATTCTGTTGCCCAAGCTGGTCTTGAACTTCTGCACTCAAGAAATCTGCCCACCTCAGCCTCCCAGAGTGCTAGGATTACCTCAGCCTCCCAGAGTGCTAGGATTACAGGTGTGAGCCACAATGCCTGGCCTCAATAAATATATTTTAAACATTTTAAAGTCCCCTTTCATTTTAAATAATTAAGGCAAAAGATGCAAAAGTAAGTTTTAATGATAGTTATTCTAAATATAAGTCTCCACTAGCAGGATGAGCAGGATACTATGAGCGTTATTAAACAAAGGGCACTGGCTTCAGGGGCATCTTTAGTCCACGGCTTCTCTTCTGGCTGTTGATACCAAATCAGAAGGTAGTGGTTGAAGTCCCCAAATTTAAACTTTTTAAATGTTGTAAATTCAATCTTACAATATTACCTAAGTGTTCCTTCTATGGGTTATACACGAGCCATAGGTTAAAATTTCATAAAATACGTTCATTGACCTAAACAAATCAGTTGGAGGAAATCTAAAGGAAAAGTAATCTCTAAAGGAACTTTCATTTCTCATTACACTGGTAGCCGGGTCTCCAGACAGGAGACCCAAGTGTCCTTCCTGAGAAATCTGCTAAGTCAAGGGGAAAAAAATTGCTGGAAGAAACTGACATCAGGGGATCCCTACCAGAAAAGATGAGCCAGTGACTTTTGGTTGAAGATGGTGTTTTGAACACATGCAGTTACCTTTATTACCTCCTGTATCCAAACTAAACAACAAGAAGGGATTTTTGTAAGGCATAAACCTGTAAGGATGAAAGGAATGAGAAGAAAGACAGAAATTAACAAAATGTTGAAATGGGAAAGCAGATGAAAAGAGTAGTGACTTGGTGGATCAAAGAAATCTGTATTCTAAGGTGATGTCAGAAATGGTGAAAATCAGTCTGATTTCTTCCTTAGAATGCTCAGTGGTAAAGAATTAGAAGCATAAAGAGTCATGGGAAACAGGAGTGGGGGTGGTGGTAACAACAGGAGAATAGTAAAAGTCTATTACAAAGTCATCAGACCTCAAGATGTTCTTACCTATTAAGAACACCAAGCAACACCCTTGTCTACCCTAGCAGAAGACTTGAGATTAATTATACAGAGGCTGAAACAGGGTCCCTGGACTAGGGGCACACAGGTACATCAGGAAGGCAGAAGCACTAAGTAAGTATTTACATAATAAATATTGAGACCATGCACACCTCTCTCCCCACTCTGCTCCCATTTTTCCCTCAATCATCTCCATTATACTAGTAGTCAGACTTGAACCTCACAGACAGGAGATAAGACAAATCTTCCTTGGGAAATCTGGCCAGCCCAAAAGAAAAAAAATGCCTAAAGAATCTGACTTCAGAGGCTCCCAACAAAAAAGATGAGCCAGGAAGTTGTGCAACAATGCCCACAGTCAATGAGCTCTATCTACCTGTACAAGTGTCCAGTCAGCTTTTCAGCATCCCACTTTTAAACATGAGTATTCAGCCAAGATCACCAAACATTTGAGAAGTCTCAAATATAAAAGAAAGAAATGGAATAGAAAGGGGGGGAAAAAGCAAATGGAAGAAACAAAGACTTTGCAAAAAAATTCAAAATTGATTATTAATATCTTCAGAGATATAATGGAAGAGGATCATTCATGACAAAAGAAGAAGGTGCTATTGGAAAATAAATATGCAGTAAACAAAAACAGTTCTTGGAAATTGGAAAAATTATAGGGGTGAAAAATCTGTTAGAATAGTTGGAAAACAGAGAAAGTAGAGAAAGACAACAGAGAAAAGGAAACAAAAAATAATAGAATGCCAGACAGGAAGTTGACATATAAAAAACAGATGTGTTATGGAATGAGAGAACAAAGAAAAAAAGATAAATCCGTGAAATATTTTTTTTTAATTCTCCCAAACCAAAACCCATAAATTTTGAGATTAAAAAGGCCTACACAGTGGATGAAAAGAGACTCAGACCACAGCCCAACATTGTAACATTTCAGAAACCACAGCCTACCATTGCAATATTTCAATTTTTCAGAAATTCAAAAAAAAAAAAAGGATTCTACAAAGTTCCAGAGAGAAAGGGAGAAGAGGAAGATGAGAGAGGTAGAAGGAGGGAGAGAGAGAGAGAAAGAATGAGGAGGGAGAAGAAGGTTTCTTACAAACTATCAAGATACAAAATGACAGTTTCTTGAAGGCAACACTAGGTGGTAGAATTGAGTGGAGCAACGGACTTAAAATTCTAATGGAAAATGATTTACAGCTTCTAATATAATACCCAAACTAGCAGCATTATATTAATATATACATAGGACATTTTCAGATGTGTAAGGTCCCAAACATGTACCTTCCAGGTACACTTTTTTCAGAAAGTGACTGGAGGTTGTGCTCCAACCAAATGAATGGTTAAACCACAAATGAGGAAACTTGCATCAGAAAAGAGTGGATAGACAGGAGAGAGAGAGGAAGGCAGTCCCCATGACCAACAGGATGGGAGAACCAGTGAGAACAGCTCTGCAGCAAGTCACGGTCTCAGAGTACCCAGTTCAGACCAGAGCAGCCCAGGAGGACAGATAGGCAATTTCTTCAAGAAGATGAAACTGATTGAATGTCTAATATTTTCAGCAAAATAGATTTATATAACTACAGAGTATGGGGTTGAATATGCAATAAGTACCTAGAAAACTAAGCATACCAACCAATAGGCAAGTAAATAAGACCCACAATTATTACCACAAAGGAAAACAAAAATTTGGCATGGAACAAAATGTGAACTTCATGACTTGGCTGCTAAGAGCATTCTAATCACCATTATATTACCACAGATTGTCTAGAGAGCTCTGATGGAACTCTATCAGAGGAAAGGCAGGAAGCAGAAGAGGGGACAAATTGGGTGGGTAGGAGGTAGAAAATACTTTACATCTTCGCCTTCCAGAGAGATGAGTCAATAGATAATACTTTAGAAATCAAGAAGCAGCATTATAAGAAACCCATGCACACACATAGGGTGAAACCAGATAATTTGTTAAAGGAAATGAAACTATTTACCTCTAAGAAATGGGAAATGAAAGGGGTGTATGATGGTCTGAAGTTTTAAAATAAAAGCCCTTAAAAACATCGTTACTTTTAAAATTATGTGCATTAATAACTCTGATGGAAATAGAAACCTGAAAAGAATGAGAAATTAATGGCAATGCCTATGATAACCTTTCAAAAGAATTTTCTGAAGGTGGAAGAGATGCATTAACATATCTCTTTGTGTTTGTGTGTATCTGTATTTGGATGTGGGAGTGTCAGTGGGTTTTATATTTTTATAGATAGCATGGGAAAATAATGAAACTTTTAAACAGAGAATGCTATTTATGAATATATTATGAATATGTAGAGAATTCTAAATGCTAAATTATTAGAAACTGTGCATGTCTGACATTCTGAGACAAAGCAGTCATCACAGACAAGCCTGTTTGAGGTCTCCATTGAAGAGATTGTCAAAACTGATCCAGGAGCCTGAGAGCCATGTGGCCGGCCTTTTACATAGATTACACCTGCCTATCTGATGGCACATACACAGTTAATGGGACAGTTCATCTTGTGGTTCCTTTTTCACAGACTCCAGAGAAAAATAAGGCCTTACTGAACACAACCAGCATACGGTTTCTGATCTTCCAATAGCTCCTTCCTGGAGAGCTGCTGAAGAGACAAGGATCTGTGCAGTGTGGCTCCTATAGGAATCTCCAGAAGGAAGCTCCTAAAAATCTCTCACATTTTCTAAAGATCCATTTCATCAGTTCAAAACAATCCTAGCTCTTCTTTAGAACAGCTGAATCCAGTGGGTCTCTCAGATCAGAACAACTTCTAATTTCTAGTACAGGAATCGGTAGAAGGTAGAATCCCATGGTAGAGCTAATCATATTAATAAAAGCTAAACTAAAGTCAGGGAGCACTGAACGTGTGCCAGACTGCTGGGCTAAACACTCTGTTGCATATCTCATTTAATCTTCACAATAATCATGCAATGTTGCTACAATTCTGTTTACATTATTCAGTTTGTAAGTAGTGGGGTCCAATGTTGTGCTGACATTCTTAATCATAAGTGGCACAGAGAACCAAACCACATTGAAAAAAAATGTGCATCATTCTCAGCAGATGGATCTAGTAAAAAAAATAGATTCCTTACCTGTGTGAATCCATTAAATGAACCGCCAGAAGCCTAAATAGAAACGAAAATCAGGGTGTGTTATTGTTTTCATTACCATTTTTGTAGGACCAGTAAATATCCATTAGACAAGTTGGAAAGTAAAGACTATCACAAATTTTAAAATAATACAAAAGGTTGCTGTGCATGAAAGAACTTAGGAAATACAAAAGGCCACACTGCATGATTTTAAATAGGCTGACAAAAAAAAAAAAGGTTAATTTTACAATTATTGCTGCTGCATTATTTTTTGGTGCTAACCAAAACCCATTTTCTCTATAATGAGAAGATGATTCCAGAAAAGGGCCATTATGGGTTAACTTGCTTTTCAGGCCATTGATAGAATCTGGAAGAAGCTTTTGCAGTGTTTCTACAATGTATCATTTTAATGAACAGCAATTAGGATATTTTACAGTTTCAGCGGGCCTGGGCTGAAACGTTTCATGTGTTCTTATTGGAGTGGAACCACTTTAGGGAGATTAAATTAGTCTCTGCTGCTCTCGGTTTAGCACATTTTTAGTACCTGAATAGTAGGGAGAATAAACTCAGAAAATGAGATGGTAACATAGACTCTCATTAATTCCCAACACAATCATTCGGCTGTGTGTGTGTGTGTGTGTGTGTGTGTGTGTGTGTGTGTGTGTGTGTGTGTGTGT